ATCGCATGGCTCTCTGTACAGAACATGTGTTAAGTAACAGCTCAGATACATCCTCTCTCACCTCCCTCTGCATTTGGAAGAATTTCTGACATCTGTAGACCTTACAGTTCTTTCCTTATAACTCATATTTGGTACCAGGGCCACTCATTAACCATAGTATCTGAGTTTTCTTTTATTTACTATTTTGTTTTCTGTGTTTGTGTCTTATTTCCACAAGTAAATTATAAATTCACTGAGAGGAAAATAAGCTTGCAATTTCTGAGACTATTCATCTAGGAAGTATTGACAAAACCTATTATGAATACATATAAGAACAGAGATTCAACACAAGTTAGAATTATATAAAATATGTTAGCTCTAATCCTTTTGCATTACCAGCCTTCTTTCTAGTTGGTCACCCTGTTTCTTAAGGTGCACCTGCACAATCAAATGCCACAACAACAATTAGATAATAGATATGCATCCTGTGTAGAAGTAAGAAAAAGGCACACAATTGCCACATTAAAAAAAAAAATAACCACAAGAAGCTGGTTTACAACCCACAGACCAGAAGTGAATGAGTTGCTGAGATGTGTTTCCTATAAATAATTTAACTATGTTTACAATCTTTAATAAAATTATACTGATAAAAGCAAACAACCACAGACCTTTTATTGGATCCTATGATTAAATGGATAGTAGATTTAATAAATGTTAAATAATAACTATACTTTTAATGAATAAAGAGAAATTTAAAAGTCGTATACCAAATGTCACATAAGCTGTTAGCCTTCAGTGACGTTCAGCATGACTTACTTAACTATAATAGTGTAGCAATTGATTCCTGTTAATCATTTTTAAATTTTATGTAGAGAAGTCTTCCATATTTTAAAACTAGAAGGTAATTGAAATATTCTTATATTTTGTAGGAAATCTTTTTTAAGTTGTGACTAGAAATGTGAGTGATGTGTTAACAAGCACACCATGACAAAATTGCAAATGAGTGTTGATCCCCCTCAAACTACTACAGAAAATCCAGTGGGAAGATGTTAGGTATGCTGTTTAATTCAGATACTCCCTCACAATATGAATTAGATACCCCCAAATGTCAGTCCTTGGGAGGCTGAGAACCCTACTTTTAGCAGTTTGCCATGTTTCAAATGATACTACCATTCCTAAAATATTCTGGAAATTTTCAGAATTGTCTTTTGGAATAATTTCCTTGCTGACAGGTTTTCATTTTCTGAAAGCTGTGTTTTATTTTCAGTTGATGTTCATCTTTGTGGCAAGCGATAGCAAGCTTTGTTCACAATGTTGGTTGCTGGTTAGGAGGGTGGATTTTGGATCGAGAGTCCTAGATTAGAAGTCTTGGTTCAGTGCTTATTAGCAGTGGTAACACTGCATCATGGTATTTCTCCATCTCAGTTTTCTTTCTGTAACTTAAGAGTGATAATACGATATCATAAAGTTAGGGTAAAGATTGTCCAAGGAAAGTCAGGTTCTTTAAGTGGCTGTGGAACGATTACAGTACTTTAATGGAGGAAAGAGTAAGAAGAGACAAATATTCCAAAACAGAGGAACATGAATCTAGTGTATAGGAAAAAAAAAAGGCTGAATAATAGAAATGGGAACAGGAGCAATAGACTTGCTACTAATTTATATGTTCATGTCTCCATTTTCCTTTGCTCAGTTTTATGAACATAATACATATTTAATAAATATACTCATTAATAGTAATACTGTACTTTAAAAAAGAAAGTCTGCTTTTTCAAGTCTTTTAGTTTCATTATTTTTACTAAGATTTTTTCCCTTCACTGTTGATCTCAGCTGGCTCTGAGGTGGAAGGCTACTCATTAAATGTAACACAACCCAAAATTTGACTCTGCTTTGTTTACCATTGAACCTTCTTCATTGCCTAGCAGAATGTCTGGTAAGTGGTATGTTTTCAGGAAAAAAACCTTTTCGAATAAATGAAAAAGTTACATATATCAAGAAATTTTAGAGGACCCTCTACAACTTCTGCCAACACTGCTTTCTCCTTCATGTTGTACAATTGCATTTCTCTGTAGCACTAAACTTGTTACTCTACTTTCTCTTTGTCCTATTCTGATAGTTTGTGATTCCTTGAATTACTAGGGGCTCAGGTTTTTGTCCTTAGCCATTATCTACCAGAATTGGAACCAGGACCTCCACTAATCCTAGATCTTTCCCTGCCCAACCCTGTGTAGCCTCTTGTCCCCTTTTTTAATGTCTGTTGTAACCACTGTAATTGACCCTCTCACAAAATCAGTGCTAAAAGGAAAGGAGTTTTATTAGCTTAATCTGACCTCTCTATCTCTGACAACTTGTAACATTCTGGGGAAATACATAATGATTTTACTGCCTTGCTAAATATTTAAAATGCAGTGTCTATTAATTATTCGATATCTGAAATTTTACAAATTTAAGGTAGCAAAAATCATTTTATAAAAATATACATTTATTTTGTGTATATCTAGAATGTGCTCAACCATCCCTTCCTATTCAATATTGTTGTTATGTGCTGTCTAGTTGGTTCTGACCCACAGTGACCATATGCGCAAAAGAACGAACAAATCACTGCCTGGTCCTGTGCCGTCCTCACAATTGTGCCTGTACTCCATCCTCACAATTGTGCCTGTACTTGTTGCCGTCTCTGTGTCAGTCCAGCTCCTTGAGGGTCTTCCTCCTTTTAGCTGCCTTTCTTCGTTACTTACATGATGTCCTTCTCCAGAAACTGGTCTCCCTGACAAAGTGTCTAAAATATGTAAGATGACGGCTCACCATCTTTGTCTCTAAGGAGCACTCTGGCCATCCTTCTTCCAAGACAGGTTTGCTTGTCCTTTTAGCAGTCCATGGTACTTTCATACTCAATACTGTGTATCTGTCTCCATCATATTATTGTTTGGCTGGTTGATATAAAAAGCCTAAAGTGTATCTTGCATATTGGAAAATTTGCATTTCATTTATATTTACTATATTGCTACCTTATGATTACTATGAGATTATTCTGTTATTAATTTAGACACTTGGTTTATTGATTCTTTTGCCTTCTTAGTTATAGTTAGGTGATGTTGAGTTGGCTCCAACTCTTAGCAATCTTACAGAAAACAGAACAAAACCTTGTCCAGCCTTGTGCAATCTCCCATGCTATGTTTAGGCTCATTGTGATAGGCCCTGTGCTAATTAATGTCAAACTTCCTTTGTTTCACTTTGCCAAGCATGATGACCTTTTCCAGAGACTAGAAACTCTTGATAACATGTCTAATGTAGGTAGTAAGTCTTGCCATCCTTACTCACGAGGAACATTTTGACTGTACTTCTTGCAAGACAGATTTGTTTCTTCTTAAAATTTTCCTTGAATAGCTGCCCTTTGACTCTTAAATGTCTGATAACTCCAAGGCACCATACTGTTGTCGTTCTCCTTCTAGGCTTGTGTATTATTTGGGTAGGCATGGAACCTGGAGGTGACTTCAGGCCCAGAACAGAAGGGTGACAAGCACCATACACTTGTGGTTCCCAGGAAGCCTGATTTATTTTAAGATTTTGAGTTTTCCTTTTCTCCCTTGTAAATATGATCCTTTTCAGAGCATTTGATAGTTTTAGCCAGACAACATCTAGTTCTTCTGGTCTCAGAATTGTGGAGATTGATGCTTGTGTGGTCCATTAGTCCGTTGGACTAAATTACTCCCATCTTTTAATTCTACTGTTCCATAAGCTTTTGAAGAACCTCCATTGATATAATGTGAGTATTATCCACTTTATACCCATGTGTTTATATGTGTATGTTTAGAACTAATTTTTTGATATTTCCCATAATTTCTGTAGTGCATATACATTCAGTGTAAGGGATTTTGAATATTATTTTTATTATTGCATGAATGTTAAAAATAAATATGCTTATCTATAGAGCACTGATGCTGTAGTGTATTGCACATTTTGCTGCTAACCACAAGATCAGAAATTAGAACTCACCACCCAGTCTGAAAGATGAGAAAGATAAGGCTGTCTAGTCCTATAAAGATTTAAAGTCTTGGGAACCCAAAGGGGAAGCTCTGCGCTGTCCTACAGGGTCCCTATGAGTTGGAATTGACTCACTGGCAGCAGTTTGTTTGCTGACACTTATTTAAAAGCATTCAGGGTAAACTAAGTGAAAAAAACAAGATGCACACTCCGCCAATGATAGACCTGAAAAACAACAAAGTAAAGGAAATGTGCTGAGAGATTCTTGCAGTCTGAAAATGACGAGACCCACATAGATAGAGGGAAATTAAAGAATGTTGTTTCATGGCCTTCATTTCAGGCCAGCAGGCACTTTTTTAGTAGAAAATACCTTTCATTCATAAGAGGTATTGTATTACTTTGCTAGGATTTTAACCACCTTTCTTGTTATCTGGAATTTTGAAATGGATTAGGCACCCAATTACTATTTTAGAAAATTGAGGAGTACCTTTTCCTTGATCGCTCATTTCAAATAGTAGCAAGAGAGTGGAATTTTTACCTCTCACTCGTGGTGCCCAGCTCTCAACATCTTAACCTGGCAGAAGGGCCAAACTAGCTGTAAATCTTACCACCCAGACCACACTTGATTATTGTATGATGGGAAAGTGAAACGAGAATAAACCAGCTAGAGCATTAGGGTGTTCTTGGAAGAATAAACACAAGTTGGAAGTCTTAGGTGGATAGTGCAAAGTACAGGAAGGCAATCAATCATGTAAACATCAAATGAAAGCTTGGTAAGGAAGCCATTGGAGTCTGTCAGGCGCTCCCGGCAATAAATTGCCAATTCCGCTGCTTTCTCCTTTCACTCAGTTTAGAAATGTGAACTCTGTGGAACTGGTAACAGAGCCAACAGTTTTTGTCGAGTTCTTTCATCCTATTTAAAGTTGCACTTTGAACAGAGTGGGTTCAAGCCCATTGATTAGGAGTTTTAGTTTCCATGAAATGAACAACTTTTGTCATACTCCATATTTCTCTGACTTTTTTTCTTCTTCCACAAACAGGAAACTGTTAAGGCAGCAATCATAGAAGAGCAGAAGCGAAGTGAAAAGGCTGTGGAAGAGGCAGTGAAAAAAACAAGAGATGAATTGATAGAGTACGTGAAAGAACAGACACGGGTAAGCAGCCCTTGACGGGCTTTGATTTGTGCTTCCATGAGCTCAAGCATTTCCATACAATAGCATGCTATTTTAAATATTTCAAATTTCCTATGTCTTTTAATTTAGGATTCTCCATCTAAGATTTTTTCCAAATATAATGACACAAGTCCCATGTCAGCAAAAACCAAACACTGTTTGATTGACTGCAAAACTCTTACATCCAACTTTACATTCATGAAGAATGTAGTCAGTTGTAGATTTTTAGATTCATTTCCCCCCATCAGGTTGTTCATTTCTTGTAACACGATATTTTTAGAAATGTATATATACTCTTAGCTTTGATTCCAATGAACTTCATTACAGTTAGCAAATTAAGGTTCTTCTACCATAATCTCATTTCAAAAACATAATTGAGAATATCGTTGGAATTTGAGATGCATATTGAGGCCTTGCCAAATAAATAACTTTTCAGCAAAATGTAGTCTTTTCAGCAAAAAGTATGAGTATGTAAATCTGAAGTAGCTGAAAATAGATCAAGGTTTGTTAAGTAATATTTAAGTAAGAAAAGCTTTATGAAGAGATATACAAAGATCATTCCTACAAGTATTTTTATCTAAGCTCCTCCAGAATAAACAATGTAATCTATAGTCTCTATAATATATATATTAAATATAGGCTCTATTTTATACTATACCCTCTTTTATACTATATAACACTTTATAATGAATATTAATAAAGTAGTATTCATGTAGGTAAATTTGACACATCTACATTTATTTACTCAGGGTCCAAAATGGCAAAGTCAATAGAAAATATGAGATATTACCCTAAAGTAGTAGGAGGAAGTATGATGATAAATACTTAAGTTGAAGCCACATTTGGTATGCTACAAAGAAAATCTCCCTCCTCAATGGCTATGATTAGGTTTCAACAAAGAGAAACTAATCAGCATAAAAATTGCAATAGGACAAAATAATAATAATTTATACATTATCAAAGGTTCATGAGGGAGGGAGGAGCAGGAGGGAGGGAATAAAAATGAGGAGCTGATACCAGGGACTCCAGTATAAAGCAAATGTTTTGAGAATGATGATGGCACAAAATGTACAAATGTGCTTGACACAATGGATGGATGGATTGTGATAAGAGTTGAGCAAGCCCCCAATAAAAGGATTTTTAAAAAATTAGAGACATACAATTCAAATAAAGAAAAAAAATTTCAGTGTAGTTTCCCCCAATAAATTAACCATTTATATTTTACAAAAGAATAAAACTTGGTGCATCTTACCTAAAAGTGTTTTTTAAAGAAATGTCCTGGTAAGTTTTTTGAAGAAAAAATTCTGAGCTACAAGTAGACCTTTTGCTTTTCAGGAAGTAGTATCTTCTCGAGCCCATTTTCATCTTGATACACAAAGAACTCATTTTGCGTCATTTGGTTCTAAAGTTGACATGCAGGGAAGGAATTACAGAAATTGTAATAGTGAAGGAATATTGACTCAAAATAAAGGCTTTGGGGGATATATGTTTTATTAATCACCTCTTCATAATATATAGTCAATCCTTATTGAGTAATAAATCTGGGCAAAAGATTACTGTATATACTCAAGTATAAGCTGACCTGAACTTCCACTGAGGAACCTAATTGTACCACAAAAACTGCATTCAAAAGGTGCTGAAAAACTCAGCTTATAGTCGAGTATATACGATGCATGACAAAGTGAATAATTTTATAAGATTATTGTAGTCAGTTTTTTTCAGTGTGGGAAGTTTTTCACATAGGAAAATGTTTTAAATAGTATATCACTTTCTCATCCCAAGGGCTCATGTTTAAAGTGAGTAAAAGAAGTGCCTGTGTAGGCGGTCTCTGGTCTCTGAGATAAATTTACCCTTGAAGAGAAAAGGCAGGAGCTCTGCTGCCCATTGTGTGAGTGTTTTCCTGGCATATTGGGAGTGGCATTCATTTGTTTAGTCTGATTTCACTTATAAATGTATTCATGAAATAACAACAAAAATCATGATAGCTATGTTTATTCACAAGATTCCACTTCTCTGGGCTTGGTTTTTTTATACGTAAAAGTGAATTTATCCCTTGCTTCATAGACCTCTTATGAGTTAATACCTGCTGCAGAGATTCGGCCTGCCAGTCAGTCTATCCAGATCAGAGATATGCAATGTCCGGTAGAGTAAAACACTGCCTGGTCCTGCAACATATTCACAATTTTTTGTTGCTGTTGCTTTTTTAAGCCCATTGTTACAGCCACTTTGTTAATCCATCTTATCGAAGATCTTCCTCTTTTTCTCTGACCCTCTGCAGTACCATCTGTACCAAGCTTGATACTATTCTCCAGGAACTGGTGCCTCCTGGCAACATGTTCAAAGACTGTCTGAAGTCTTGCTCGTTTCACTTAGTAGGAGCACTCTAGTAATACTTCTGTCCAAGCAGATTTGTTTCTTCCTCTGTTAATCCATGCTGTATTTAGTATTCTCTAACACCGTAACTCCCAGGTACCAATTCTTGTCCAGTCTTCTGTATATATTGTGTACATATACATGCTTTTGATTGAAAATAACAGAATGTGAGTCACTGAACCTTAGTCCTCAAAATCTTTGCTATTTAACACTTTAAAGAAGTCATTTACAGCAGACGTACCCATGTAATATGCTGCTTGGTTTCTTGACTGCTGCTTCCATGGGTGTTGACTGTGGGTCTAAGTAACATTAAATCCTTAACAACATCAATTTTATCTCCTTTTGTTATTTTACTTACTGGTCTAGTGTGAGGAATTTTATTTTCTTTACATTGCATTTTAATGCACACTGAAGGTTGTAGTCTTTGATATTCAGTAAATGCCTCAAGCCCTCTTGGCTTTCAGCAACCAAAGTGGTGTCATCTATATATTGAATGAATGAGTCTTTATCCAATCATATGAGGGACTACCACCCCCCAAATACAAAAACAAAACAAAACAAAAAATCGAATTGCACTGGGCAGAGCAGAGCTTTTGTAGTACGCATTTTTCCCACTAGGTAAGCTCTGAGTAAGTGCACGCAGTGGCATCGCCTGTGAAGGCTCTCTCGGTACAGTGAATATTTTTGTAAAAGTAGTTTCTCTCAAACTTGTTTTTTGTGATGGCTTATTTAAAAGAACACTGCAACTATGAAATTTTGTTTTCTGTTCTGGAAAAAACTTCAGAAACTGTTTTGATGTTGAACAACAGCTTACAAGGACAGTGCTATGGGAAAAACTGAACTGTACAAGTGATTTTCTCATTTCAAAAAAGGTGAAAAGTTGATTAATGACCAAACTTGTTCTTGATGTCCATCAACTTCCCAAACTGACAAAAATATCAACTCATAGTACATCCGGAGTTTATTTCACCAGGTCAGACCATTAATCAAACTTTCTATTTAGAGATTCTGAAAGATTGCATAACAGTGTGGTTTTGCCACCACAACAATGCCCTTGCTCACACTATCTCAGTGCACCAATTTTTCGGCCAAAGACAGCATGCCTCTCTTGCCCCACACACCTTACCTAACCTCACTCTCTGCAACTTCTTTTTGTTTTTGTGAATGAAGAGGGACATGAAGGACAGCGATTTGATGACATAGATGAGGTGAGGTGAAAAACAAGGGGGGTGCTGTCAGGCATTTAAACAGAGGAGTTTGAAAAATGTTTCCAAGAATTGAATTGCAGATTTGACAAATCTATTAAGTGTAAAGGAGAGTATTTTGAAGGAGATAAGGTAGTTTTGTGGGAAAATAAAATTTTAATACATAGCTTTAGGGGGGAAAATTCCATTTTGGGGGGTTATCCTTCATATAGTCCAACTTCTCAGATTATTTATTCAGCATAAATATTGAATAAGTAGAATGAAAGAAAGCAACCTTGGAATACACCTTTCCTTATTTTACCACATTGTATCTACTTGTTCTGTTTCAACCATTGTCCCTTGTTCTATGTATGGGTTCCACACGAACAAAATTAAGTGTTCTCAAACTCCCATTCGTAATAATATTATCCATAGTTTGCTATTATCCACACTTCTGATACCAATACAACACAAGTAAGCATGTTTCTAATAGTCTGTACTTTCAACTCATATCCATCTGATTTCAGCAGTGTCGTTCTATACAGCTTCTGAATCTGGCTTAACTCTCTGGAATTTCACTGCTGATGTTCTCCTGCAAATATTTTAAAGTTATCTTCAATTGTCCTTGTTTGTAATATTAAAATTATTATTCAATATGTCCACATTTTATTGTGTCGCCTTTCTTTGGAATGGATACAAATATAGACCCCTTGCAGTCAGATGACCAGATAATTGTCTTCCAAGTTGCTTGGCATAGAAGAGTTAGTGTCCCATACTTGATCACCTTTCACTTGGAGTCTTCTGTCAGTTCCTGGAGCCTTGTGTGTTGCTAATGCCTGCGTGCAACCTGGACTTCTTCCTTCAGTACTAGCTTTACTGGATCATGAAATGATTGTGTGTTGTCCACTTCTTTTTGGTACAGTGACTGTGAATCCCTTCCATCTTCTTTTGATGATTCTTGAATCATTAAAACAGAGCTGTTGCTTTTTTAAATATTGGAACTCAAAGCTTGAATTTTTTTTTTCAGTTCTTTCAGCTGAAGATAATCTGAACACGTTCCTTCTTCCATTTTAGCTTTCAGATTTTTGCACATTTTAAAGCAATGCTTTACTCTGTCTTCTTGAGCTGATCTTCGAAAATTTAGGTCCAGCTTTTACTTCATATATTCTTGTATTTATTTTACCTATTCTGTGTTCAAGAGCAAATTTCAGAGTGTCTTTCGACACCAACTGTAGTCTCTTCTAATCTTTTTTCATGGCCTTTTTCTTTCTTCATGAATGATGTTATTGAGGATATCCCACAATTCAACTGGTTTTCTGTCATTATTGTTCAATGTGTCAGAGCTGTTCTTGAGATGTTCTATAAATTTTGTAAGATATTTTTATTTTTTAAATCAATTTATTGGGGCTCATACAATTCATCACA